TGCTCGCGAAGCTGCTGATGAGACCTTCAATTTGCACCGCTTCTTGGAATAGCCCGTCCCCTACTTGCCAAGAAATGGCAAGAGGCGTCTGGACCCGAAATTTCAATTTTTTTGGCTCTCGCTCTCAATCAGATACTTCGCTCTCAATCAGGCGAATATGTTGTTATGTGCGGTATGGGAGAGGAGAGGTTGCCGAGAATAGTATGGGAGGCGAAGTGGGCAATCAAAAAGAGGGGTAGAAAACTCACCGAATGGGTCAAGGTTGTAGAGGACGTATGGAAGGGGTTCGACATCGACGAAGATGAAACGCAGGAAACGGAGGGTCGACACCGAACTGCGTTATTCTGATGAAATCATCGTGATCCCCACCCCAATCTTGCCCAGAATTGAGACTTTGAGCCCGTAGGACCGGGTATTTGAGGTTGCGAGGGGAGGGGATGCTAACCTTCCATCCCCGTCTGTTGGGCGTTTTGGGATAGCTGTAACTCAATGCGATCGACGAATTTGGAAATTCTGAAAACGGATTCGCAAATTTCGACCCGATTTTACCCTACGTTGAAATTTTCAGGCCGATCACAGCTATCTAAGAGGGGGGGGATATTAACGCGTGTTTGATGCCGTGACAGATTTACGAGCGCGAGCACGCCCCCGAAGAATACTACACGTTTCCCACCACGTTTTCCACCCATCTACGGCCCGTCATCATCGAGCTGCTCTACACTCCCAACACACAGAACTGAGCCACCCGAATTATCCATCACGCTGGCGTATGACACGTCGTCAACGAGATTCGCGGTCGAGCTTAGTTTAGGAGTATCGCTTTGCAGCGATGAGGAGCAGGATCAAGATGGTCGAACACGGGCGCGAGAGCGACGTCGCCCGCCGAGCAGAGCAAGCAGCAGCTGAGGAGGCTCGGATAGAGGAGATGATGAACCAGGGGCTAGCAGCCAGGCTGGCCGAGATGGAGGGACGACAACATTCGAGCAGTGACGCACAGATGACATCCGGAGCGGGAGCGAGCAACAAGGGGCACATCTACCGATACACGCGGGGAGCCCATCGGCCAACCCCTCCGCCGACGACATCGCCAACGCGATCGCCAACGCCGTGACTGGCCGTCTCCAGACCACATCCGGGGATTCCGGTAGAGTACCGCAAGTAGGGACTTTGCAAATGACTGAGAGTAGGAGACTACAGCCTTCGGACGACAATTTCAAACCAGGGGAGGATGAGCAGGCTAAACTTTTGATTTTCAAGCCGACATGCTTGCGATATTTGCGCAGGAAGGTGTATACGAGGTCATGATGAGTGACGATGATATTAATGTTGGAAAAGATGGAGTAGACATGGCTCGACTGAAGACACAGTATGGCGAGCAGAAGGTGAACAAGGCAATAGCGGCGTGGAACTTGCTCATCACAACGGTGACTTACTTGCCAATCTTGACCCATATCATCTCAGATGGTAACCCGAGTAGAGGGTGAAAAATCTTCCTCGAGTACTACAAGCCCCAAGCTCGGGCAGCAAAGACACGCCTTTCGTCAGACTATCACGGCATTAGGATGAAGAAAGGAGAGACTCCGGTGCGACTTTTTCGGATGATGCGAACAGCCATTTGGTTTTGAACCTGTCGTCCGACTATGATGTAGAGAAGAGAATGCTGACCAACATGGACGTGTTGACTCGGCAGAAGATCGAGAGGGCTGTGAGGAGTACCTATGCGGATCGCGTGCGCGCCCGGGAGGAGGAGCAGACGAGTGGCTTGGGGCACGCTTTCGTCGCTCCCGGTGCACCCCGGGGCGACGGAGGTGTCCAAAATGGGTCGAGTGGGAACGGCGGCGGACAGGACGGTAAGGGTGGCAGTCGGAGTAGGAGCACCGGAGCCAGAGGAGACAAGCGCTGCGAGGTTCACCCGTGGGCATTTCACACCAACGAAGAGTGCGATGCTCAGAGGAAGCNTTGACTCGGCAGAAGATCGAGAGGGCTGTGAGGAGTACCTATGCGGATCGCGTGCGCGCCCGGGAGGAGGAGCAGACGAGTGGCTTGGGGCACGCTTTCGTCGCTCCCGGTGCACCCCGGGGCGACGGAGGTGTCCAAAATGGGTCGAGTGGGAACGGCGGCGGACAGGACGGTAAGGGTGGCAGTCGGAGTAGGAGCACCGGAGCCAGAGGAGACAAGCGCTGCGAGGTTCACCCGTGGGCATTTCACACCAACGAAGAGTGCGATGCTCAGAGGAAGCGCGTTTCACACCAACGCAGAGTGCGATGCTCAGAGGAAGCAGCGAGAGCGGAAGCAGCGGGCTCAGCAGCCCCAGCAGCAACAGCAGCCCCAGCAGCCACAGCAGCCACAGCAGCCACAGCACNGGAAGCAGCGGGCCCAGCAGCAACAGCAGCCCCAGCAGCAACAGCCGCCCCAGCAGTAACAGCAGCCCCAGCAGCAACCGTGACAGCCACAGCATCAGCAGCAGCCGCAGCAGTACCAGCAGCCTCACCATCAGCAGGGGCTGGGGTGGTGGACCTCAGCACGGACCCCACGGCGGCCACGGAGCGCAGCAGCGGTATGGATACCCGGCTCCCCCTCGCCCGCAGCAGAAGCATTAGCGCCCCCCGCACGGGCATGCAAACGTGATGCACCAGCAATATAGTGTCACGCCCTACGGGGGGCCCGCGAATGGTAGCGAGTATGGGAGTTGGGAGCAGCAGCAGCCACCGTACCAGCAGCCTCCGCCGGACTACACCCAGCAGCAGCAGCTGTACTACCCGCCTCCGACACCGTACTATCAGCAGCAGCCACCGCCGCAGCCTCCGCCTCCGCCGACGTTCCAGCAGCAGCAGCCGTCGCAGCAGCAGCAGCACTCCACCCATGCATCGCCCTACTCGACTCCTCCCGGAGCAGCAGCACCGTCCCCCGGCTCCCTCCACTTCTTGATGGCACGTTTTGTGCCTAGAGGCGAGATCGTACCTAGTGGTGTGGTAGCGAGTAGCGAGCGTGATAGTTNACGTTCCAGCAGCAGCAGCCGTCGCAGCAGCAGCAGCACTCCACCCATGCATCGCCCTACTCGACTCCTCCCGGAGCAGCAGCACCGTCCCCCGGCTCCCTCCACTTCTTGATGGCACGTTTTGTGCCTAGAGGCGAGATCGTACCTAGTGGTGTGGTAGCGAGTAGCGAGCGTGATAGTTGTAGAGGATTTGCTTTGGCTGCACGAAACCCGGATTCGCATTTTGGCAGAGAGAGATTTGGGCCGACAGCGGCGCCACCAACACGCTTGTTAGCAGCAGCCATCAAATGTTCGACTTGAGGCAAGTGCCGCCCGGTAAGCAGTACATACGAGTAGGTAACGGTGCCTATTTGCGCGTGCAATGTGTTGGTAAGGTAAACATGGCGTTCCACATGCCCGGCCCTTCGGGCGAGACCGATTCTTATGTACAGATGTCGGACGTGTACGTAGTCCCCGTCATCACATCCAACCTGTTTTCCATGCACAATACGCAGCGTAGGCAAAAGATCACGTTGGACGAACATGGCGTGCACCTCTTCGATGGTAGGCTTACCTTTGCTTACTCCGACGTAGGATGTTCCCTGTTGGCCACCCGCTTGCCTCCAGAGTATGCTGGTAGTGCTGTGACCAACAGCCCCGATGCCCCCCCCCGTGTTTCTGCCCAAGCCTCCCCGCCGAGCGTTGGCACAGGCCTTGTCGCGGCAAATCCCTCTTTCCCACAGAGTGCAGAAGCGGGCACGACTTCGAGTGCGAATGCGAGTTCCGGTTTCCAGTCCGTCGCAACGGCAGGCGTTGTACCTTCGACTTCTGGCGTCCAGCCCACCGGAGTCGCTGCCGGTGTTGTACCTTCGAGTTCGAGTTCGAGTGCGAGTCCGAGCTTCCAGTCCGCCGGTGGTGCCGCTGCCGGTGTTGTACCTTCGAGTTCGAGTGCGAGTCCGAGCTTCCAATCCGCCGGTTGAATCGCTGCCGGTGTTGTACCTTCGTCTGCGCGTGCGACTTCAAGCGTCCCATCAACCACGTCCGGTGTAGTGCTTCCGCGCTGTGCATTCCCGCCTATCGACCTAGATGTAGTGCCAACGACTATTGCCGACTTCCAGCCTGTAATCACAGCTGCCGTAGCATCGTCTGAGATTGTTTCTCCCTCCGTCGTTGACACGAGCGCTTTTCGTGACGTCGTGATCAACCCCCTCATCCCCCAGGACCATTAGCCTCTCATGGATATGAGCATGTCCCTGTTCGTGATAGTTGCTGCTGTGTGTGTCGACAGAGTGAAGTAGAACAACTTGGTTGGACAGTTTGCATTGCGGGACTGTCTGCGTTGAAGATCGTTGAGTAGCCATATATTATCAGAACAGCAAGGAACGTTCTGTGGGAATGTTCTTCGTGGATGGTGCATTACCCCGAGTGTGTTTCTTGTGGATAGTGCATCAGTCAGAGGATTCATGGTACGTTGTGATGTACGTTAGCCCCTGTCTGTTGAGTCTTTTTTGTTCCGATATCATTGTGTTCTGCTTTTGTGCGTTGGTCGAGCGACACGGGTGGTGGCTGCGGTGCTGCGGTGCTGTGGTCTCCCCACCCTTGCTCACTTCACCTTTTGACCTGTTCTCCTGGTCCAAGGTCTAAAATAAAACATCTTTTCCCCAGAAGCCACGAATTTACCAACAGTTCCTTGATGATGGATGGAATAGACTCGGTCCCACAGGGTGATTTTTTTCCGGATGCGCTTGATGTTTGCGATTCTGCAACACCCCCTTCCCCCGCGTTTGCCGTGATGAGTGATGAATTGGATTGCCTGAGAGGTTTTGTTGCTGGATGAAGTAAGCAGCAAACCGTGGCTCCCCCCTCCCTCTCGCATGCCTTGGCGATTATCGCCCCCGGTGCTTCCCCATTTTCGGTAGGAAAATCCACGCCCACCGTCGATNGCTGGACGGCTCCCGGTACCTGATCATGTTCGTGGACAGCGCATCGCGGTGGCAACGGGGGTACGGGATGCCAAGAGCGACACCCTGGAGTTCGTGCAGCGGATCCTCGCCGACATGAACGGCATGGGCACTCTGGGGTGTTTCCGCATGGACAACGGCGGCGAGTTCACCGGCTCCGCGTTCACTTCGTTCTTCGACGCTGCTGGCATTCGGCGCGAGTACACCGCCCCCGACACCCCCAAGCAAAACACGGTGGTCTAGAGCGCCATATGGCGCGCCATGAAGGGGGGCCACGCCGCGCGCCGCCACATCCTCGCCATGGGCCACGTCAACCTTNATCATGTTCGTGGACAGCGCATCGCGGTGGCAACGGGGGTACGGGATGCCAAGAGCGACACCCTGGAGTTCGTGCAGCGGATCCTCGCCGACATGAACGGCATGGGCACTCTGGGGTGTTTCCGCATGGACAACGGCGGCGAGTTCACCGGCTCCGCGTTCACTTCGTTCTTCGACGCTGCTGGCATTCGGCGCGAGTACACCGCCCCCGACACCCCCAAGCAAAACACGGTGGTCTAGAGCGCCATATGGCGCGCCATGAAGGGGGGCCACGCCGCGCGCCGCCACATCCTCGCCATGGGCCACGTCAACCTTTCCTCCATCCCCAACGTCGGCGTCAACGGACATCGCCTGTGGCTCGCGTCGGCGCTGTGGGCATCCGCCTGCTTCAACCGCTCCGCGACGAAGGCCAACCTGGGCTGGATGTCGACGTTCGAGGCGTTCTTCGGCCGCAAGCCGCCCCTCACCGTCGTCCCTTTTTTCCAGGAGGGGATGATGCGCGTGAAGCGGGCCACCAAGGCGGACGTCCAATCCGCGCGGTGCTTCTACCTGCACTGCGCCAACAACCACTCGACGTCTAACGCCGTCGTTCTTCGCGCTGACACCGGTCGCCTCGCTCTCACCAACAACGTGGTGTGGGTCAACCGCCGGGCAGGAGCGCCGGCGCCGGTGCCCGGCATCGGGGGGGTTCTTCGGTCACCGCGGCGCCCTCACCGGCCGCCGCCGTACCTGCGGCCGATGCCGCACCGCCGCCGACTCCGCCATCAAGGACGTACACCTACATCCCGCTTGCACCAGCGACCACCGCACCGCCGCCGCCCGCTTCCCCGCCGATCTTCACAGGATCCTCAGCCCCGTCGCCGATCTCCGTCGCCCCATCATCAGCCCCACCGTCGACCGCAACGCCGCCCCGTTCGCCCCCGGGCCTGCCGCCGCCGCCGCCGCAGCCCACCAGCGCCGCCACCCCCTCTCCTCCGCACCCGCCGCTTTCGAATCGAGCCGTGAAGGAGTTGGGACCAAAGGACACGAGGGTACACGGCCGCACGCGCGGCGATGGAGTTCGGTTCATGGAAGAACAACAACAACCGCCGTCCGGTGGCGGCACCGCTCTCCACCACCGTCTTGGTCTGTTAGCGATGATGGACAAGAACTCCCTCATTTCGTCGCTCGCCACGTGGGAGGCCATGGATCAAGGACGCCGCGACCTACCGACCCCGCCGCAGCCGGNAGACCGCAGATGTTCGCAACGATGTTCGCCACCCGCGAGGATGTGGACGCCGCTCTTCGCGCCGAGCGCCCGCCCGACAAAATGCCAGACCTTCCTCACTGCCTCGCCAGCGACCTCCGCGTGCCGAAAATATTCAAGGAGGCCATGCGGTCTAAACATTCAGAGTTGTGGGATGATGCAGTCGGTAGAGAGTTTTTCGGTTTGTCGGATGCAGGAACTCTTAGTCCGGTGTAGCAACCAGTAGAGAACGCCATCAATGCCAAGTGGGTCTTTAACTGTAAGGCAGACGAGTACGGATGGCCGACGAAATTCAAGGCAAGACTTTTAGCGCGGGGGGACATGTAGAGGGCTTCGATTGATTTTGGAGAATTTTTTGCACCCACCGTTTCAGTGTCTAGTGTGCGCTTGTTAGCAGCATTAGCATGTGAGCGGAATCTCGACTTGTGCCATTTCGATATTCAGCAGGCTTTAGTGCGGTCTGAGCTTGGCGAGGATGTTTTCATGANATTCAAGGCAAGACTTGTAGCGCGGGGGAACATGCAGAGGGCTTCGATTGATTTTGAAGAATTGTTTGCACCCACCGTATCAGTGTCCAATATGCGCTTGTTGGCAACATTAGCATGCGAGCAGAATCTTGACTCGTACCATTTCGATATTCAGCAGGCTTTTGTGCAGTCTGAGCATGATGAGGATGTTTTCATGCGCTTACCGCAGGGGTTTGGTGGGTCATCTGGCCTGATCGTGAAGCTGTGCAAGAGTCTGTATGGTTTGAAGCAGGCATCACGACATTGGCATGCGCACCTGGCGAGGTGTTTGTCACTTTTTTGTTTTTTGCAGTAACTGGCAGATACATGTGTTTTCGATTGATGGAGGAGGGACGTGTGATCATGATCATGGTGGTCTACGTGGATGACATTTTTGCCGTAGGGCAGAAGGAGAGGTGTGACAAGTTTGGCAGGGATCTCAACTAGAGAGAGGGCTGTTGGGGATTTGGCAGCAGAGGTTTGCCGAAGAGTTGGCTGCAGAGTGCGGCATTGAGTTGGAGGAGCGTGCCCTTGCCTGTGAGCGTGAAGCTCATCGACTTCGACGAGAACGAAGCGTGCGCTGATGTCCCTTTTCGCGAGTTGGTAGGATCTCTGATGTGGTTGGCCACCCAAACAAGGCCGGACATCGCGAACGCAGTTCGAGCAGTTGCGCGGTATTGTGCATCTCCCAAGATGGTGCACTGGAAGGCAGCACTCGGTATTTTAGGGTACGTACGGAGGACGAGTTGGATGGGGATTGCGTTTGAGAGGGGAGTGGTGACTGGGATGAGCGTGCAGGTGTTTGTGGATGCCGACTATACAAGCAAAGCGACAGAGCATAGATCGGTGTCAGGAGGGCGAGTGATATGTGGGGGAGGGTGTGTGACTTGGTTTTCGAGGACGCAGAAGTGCGTTGCGCTTTCCACCACGGAAACACAGTACGTGGCAATTGCCAATGTCTTGAAGGAAGTGTTGTTCCTGAGGCAGGTGTGGCGTTTTATGTTGCCAGATGCAGGTATACCGTGCATCCCGGTGTTCGAGGATAATCAGGGAGCGATTCAGATTGCGCACAACCCGATCACGAATTCCAACCCGAAACACATCGATGTACGGCATCACTTCATCAGGGAGCTGGTAGAGAGGAAAGAGATCTCAACTACTCATGTGCCGACGCAATTTCAGCATGCAGATTTCTTGAAGGCTATTAGCAAGGTGCCTTTTGCGCCGTGACTTTGTGATGAACTTGCAGTAAAGGAAGTATTTTGGGGTCGATTCGTATTCTGTAGCGGAGAGAGAAAGAGACAGACGAGATTGGACAATGAAAGAGAGATTGTGATGAAGGTGGTAACGGTGTTGGAGTTGTGTGGGGATTTTTCTTGGTTGTTTTGGAGGAGTTATAGTTTTGTTGGGATTTTTCTTTTTTGTTTTGGAGAGATGATAAAAAGGAATTTGGTTTTGGCCGAAGCATGACGATGCATACGAGCAGGGGGGCTATTAGATACATTGGGGGTACTCGTAGCACAGTATGACGGGTAAGATCTTCAGTACGTACGTACGGAAGTTGCAGTGACGAGATGCGGAGGAATCATAACTTTCTGGGTATTTTCCTTGGAAGTGGAATGAGTTTGATGGAGGTTCAGAGAGATCCATTTGGTTATTTGAGCGTGATGAGCGTGACGCGTGCTTAATGCCGTGACAGATTTACGAGCGCGAGTACGCCCCCGAAGAATACTATTCGTTTTCCACCACGTTTTCCACCCATCTACGGCCCGTCATCATCGAGCTGCTCTACATACAAGCTTTTGCTNGTGGGACGGACGTGCAGTTCAGTTTTTGGGCACGCATACGGTGCTGCAGGGATTTTTAGGTGTACCTCTTCGGGCTCTTGCATACCTTTTTCTCGTCAGATGTGTGCGTGTTCTTTAGATCCTCAGATGGCTCTAGCACTTTCGTGACCACGGGCTGAGAGTCTTTTGCTAGATTTTGGCATTTAGCAACTGACATACGGTTTAATGTGAAGACAAACAACAACAACAACAACATTCCCAACACACAGAACTGAGCCACCCGAATTATCGATCACACCTAGCTACATGGCGATCAACAGACCATTATTCGGCATCATACATAGGTTACAAGGCTACGGCAATGCTTGAGTTGCACCTCAGATCCCTACAGCTATTTCATCGGCAAGCTGCGTGCTGTACGCGGCGATTTCTCGGGTCGGCGGACCATGGACCGCCGTGGCAGAGTTGTTTTTTTTTTCTCCAATCATTGGACTCTGTCGTCTGCCCCTCTGGCCCCTATCCTCCACTTCTACCAGCTGGACGACTCAACCGGGGTCACACAGGAGGGGGGGGCTGGACCTCCTCCTGCGGTTCTTGCCTGAGGTATTTTTATCGCGAGAAGGGTACAGCAATCCCTTCCCTCGTCACTTATGAAGTCGATCAAGTTTACTAATAACGTATTCGGGTGACACTGCTGTACTGCGAATCTACGTACATGTACGTCCTGAAGCAGATGCTTCATGGATTCCTTCCACACACGCACACAGCACAGGGACACGGCAACCGTTCCTCACATCGACGAACAGGAGAAACGGTCGGACGCAGGGTGCGGGACAACATGACGCAAAACTGGTGTTGTCGTTGCACCACCAATCTTTAGTTGGTGTGTGCGTGCACTCGCTTGCTGCTCGTCGTCTTTCGCGCCTGGGGTAGTGATTCCATAACAACGCCTGCTTTTTACAATAGGATCTTCGCTTCACAGATAATCTCCCCAAACGTTTCATCTTTCGTCATGCTTTGTGCCATCCGTACTGCGTGCTCACCCTTCCCCATGTGCGGAACCGCGTTGCGAGTGCGTCGAAGCTATCCTCCGTCCTTTCCGTTTGGCGCCGCCTCTCTCTCTGTGAAGTTCCGCGTTCTACGGCGGGCTGCCCCGCAGAAGGGGAGCGAATCCAGCGAGTTTCTCCACCATGCACACTGCTGTTGGTGTATGTAATCCGTAAGCCGCACACCCACCAACTGATGGGGCCGGCCCCAACTCCTTGTGCACAGCAGTTCACCCGCTTGCAATTGGTGGTCTCGTATTGGAAAAAAAATCAATTGAAAATGAGCACCCTGTTCACGAAATTTCCAGGAAGAATCCCGTCATCAACCATGCATTGAATTTCGATTTTGACGAAGAAAAGTGGAAGGTTGTGTTGTACAACCTGGTGTTTTGTCAGAACGGTTAGAAAGATCAAAGGGGGCACCGTAGGTAAGAGATAATTGATAGGTAGGTATGGATGTATAACGAAAAGAAAAAGAAAAGAAAGACATGCAACTTGCTCACAACACAAGAGACATCTGAACGAAAGAGCAAGACAACAAGCAAACAAGAGGAGGAGTAGAAGAGAGACAGAGGAGGAAGAAGAAGGAAGCGAGTATACGAAAGGGAGGAGACAGACAGAGAACGAGAGCAAGAGCAGCATCGTTGGTTCGTTTTTTTTTTTTTTTTTTTTTTTTTTTTTTTTTTTTTTTTTTTTTT